GCACGTCACCCATGTGTGTGCTAGGCCTGCTTAATTCCCCCGTGGGCAGCTGAGGGACAGAGAGGTGCAGACTTGCCCTCACAGCTCACAGTGGCCAAGAGATGTTGTCTTGAACACTAGACTGTAAGCTCCGCAGGAGCAGAGACTGTTTGCTCTCTGATGTGTCCCAGGTACTGAAACAATACTTAGCACATAAGAGGCACTCAATAAATACTTGTTGAATTCAATTAGCCCCAGCTCTGGAGTCCCAGCTGTGGTCCAAGTCTTGACTCCTCCGGTCCTGCTTTTGGACCTCAGACAAGTCACACCCCTCGGGCCTACCAATGGGCAGAGCGGAGGTGGAGTGCACTGCCAGGCTCGGGCAGTGGTGTCCATAGCTCAGTTTCCTCTTTTCCAGCTTGGTCTGTGGCTGAGAGTACCCCCCCATTTTCATCAGGCAAAACCACAGACAGAGGAAGATTTTAAAAAGAGGCTTTTAATGAAAATAAGACCCATTGGCCATCAAGTCCATTGTAACCCAGCAACTCTGTGAGACACTAGCGCTGCCCCGTAAGATTTTCAAGGCTGTGAATCTTTGCCGACGCCAACAGCTACATCTTCCAAGGGGCTGCTGGTGGGTTCAAATTCAGCCTAACCACTGCACCTGCCGGGCTCCTTTTATGTGAAAACACTGGACAGTAATAGATAGGACCAAGGCTCAGGGTCCTTGGCGCTGGTAGTAAACAGGTTCTAAAAAAGCTCCCTGCCCCTTTGAGGGCACAGAGCCAAGTGCTACCAAAAAAATACGCAAGCTGCCTGCCTTGCAGGACTCAACCACGCACCCTCTATTCAACAACTGCCTGGCTGCCAGCTCTGTGGCAAGAAATGCCTGCACACACACAGGTCCTTCCAGTCCACTGCAACGGCCTGCTCCCAGCAGCCTTGGAGGGCTCCTGCCTGGCTAGGTCAGTCTGCAGTGGGCAGGGGCCTTTGGATGGCGAAGGTCATAGCCAGGCATCGTCACCCTGTGAGAAGTTGTGTGAGTAGCTGTGTTCCTGGCCAGCGCTGAAGCCACGCAGCAGCTCTGCCTTACCCCCAAACACCAGGCTCTCCACGTCCACCTCTAGGTCCTCTGCAGAGAAGAGTGCCATCAGAAGATCCAGTCACCCTGCCAGGTCCCTCCACCCAGTCGGAGGGCACTTACCTTGGTCGGAGTCCCAGCGCTCTGAGGAGAGGCCGGAGGAGTCCAAGCTGTCTGCTCGGAGCCGCTCCCGCTCGCCCAGCCCTGCAGGTGCCCGGAGCTGCTCCAACTGCTGCTGCAGGCTCTGCTGTCTGCTGCGGAGCTTCTCCTTCAGTCGCTGCGCCCGCCGCTCCTGCTCCTCCAGCTTCTGCGGAGCCCAGGGGGCAAGGGGCTGGAGCCACCAGCCCAGGGGCTTGGCCTCACCCCACCATCCCTAAGCAGCAGGCTGTGGCCCTGTGGTGCCCAATGCTTACGGAAGGCTGCCTAGATCTGGGCCCCAGAGTGACTCCCTCTGCCAGGAAGCCAGTCCCCTCCAGCCCCCCTCTTCACAACTGAGATGACCTTTGAGAATTTGGCCTGTTGGGGTGGGGCAAGCCACAATCTCAAAAGGCCCAATCAAGTGATTGAAAGACAAGCTCTGGTGGCACAGTGGGCTGCTAAGCACAAGATCTACAGTTTGAACCCACCAGCTGCTCCTCAGGAGGAAAATGAGGCTTTCTACTTCCCTAAGGCGGTTCCACCCTGTCCTATGAGTTTACTCTGGGGCAAGGCAATAGGGACTGGGCGAGGGGTGGACTCAGGAAGGAGATGGAGCCTGGGAGCAGTGGGGAAGGGGGCAGAATAGGACATTCCCAGTGGGAGGTTGGGCCGATGAACAACTATCCTGTCAGCCTGGGGTTGCGTGAGGGGTGCTGAGAGTGCTGCCACACGTCCGTCCTTCACACAGACGCGATACTTAGCGTCTGGAAAACGAGAGAGGGCGGGAAAGCACTAGAACGAGGGGAAGCAGGGCGTCAGCTCTTCAGGTCCTAGCCAAGTGTGACTGAGACACAAGGAGAGTGGGAGGGCAGTGTGAATGGTCCCCACACCCGCGATTTGGTGACACGTGGAGGCATCATAGATCCCTGTGTCTAGAAGTCAGGTGGACCAAGGGCAGCAAGGGTGCATGGCCAAGTTGTGACTCCACCCCGCCTTTCCAGTTTAAGTAAACACTGGCTGAGTCAGCAGAACCCTGCCCCCCTCCTGTCCAGCTGTTCCAGTCAGGAGCCCTGGAATGTTATTTTGAAGTGTTCCCCTCTGCCTCCTACCCTGCCCCCACGCCATGGCTCTGGTCTAGAATGGTGCCTGGCATACGAGGCGCTCGGGAGATGTCTGTTGAAGGAAAGCAGGTGAGTCGGGGCACCTGGAACTGGGCTCTGAATCTGCCTCTCCTCAGCTGTGCAACCTGGCCAGCAGCAGCCTGCATGTCAGGCCATCTGCTACTGACAGCAATAGAGCCAACTTAGACCTGGAGTTGCACACCTGCTCCTGTCCACCAGGGGGCGTGCAACAGCCCAGCTGCAGCTGGGCCCTGAGGGCCAGGAGCTGGCAGGGTCTCTATTCCTCTCTGAAACAGCCTAGACGAGTGGCATCAGGACAGACTTCCCAGAGTAGGCCCTGAAGGATAGGGTGGGGGAAAGGTGGGCAAATGTGCCACAGTCCAAGTGTCCCTTACATTCGACATATCACAAGCATTTCAGCATCAGGCCAGTCCTCCCACCCTGCCAGACAAGAGGAGTGGGAAGTTCAGAGAATGGCTGACCCAAGGTCTCAGAGCTGGATATAAGCAACAACTACAGTAATAACAACAAACTGCATTTCTTCCTGCTTACCAAGAATGAAACTAAAAGCCTAGACAGCTGTCCAGAATAATAGTGGGGTTATGACCTCAGGCCTCTTTCCCCAGGCCCACAACACTGCACTCCTCCTGGCCAGCTGGCCCCGGATGGGCACAAATGTGGCCGTACCTGGATGTGTACCCTGGCTCGACGCAGGAGGCTCAGGGTGGTATATCGGGCACAGTCAGATCCCAGGGGCATCTGCTGCTTCAGTTGTTCCAGGCACCGCTTCAGCTGGGCCCTCCTGCAGGAGAAGGGGGCTGGAGGGCAGTGCTTGTTGCTGCCGCCCCCACCCCCACCCCGGGGTGACAGGAGGGGAGGCTAGAGGGTGCAGTTCCTGGGACCTTGTGCAGCAGGACAGAGCTGGGACTCACCTGCGCTTCTCCAGTTCATTGTGCACAGACCTGCCAGGGCCAGGGGGGAGAGGGGAAGGGTGGTCAGCCACTCGGGAGTGGCCTGGGACCTAGATCCCCCAGGCAGGCAAGCAGGGACACTGACACAGGGCGACAGAGTCTGCCCCTGGGGGGCTATGAGAGCTCAACCCTGGGGCCTATCAGCATCACCTAGTGAGAATCTGGTTAAAATGTACAATCCAATTCGGTCTATCTGGGGTGGCAAGTAAATTCCCAGAAGGCAAACGAATTAATCGGTTGGAAGCTCTAGTCCAACCAGACATCAAGGGCTTCCTGACAGTGAACCTTGCCTGCTGAGCCCAGAAGTAAAAGTTTCCCAGAGAGGGAGCTTAGAGAGAGGGGCACTCAAGTAAGAGGGAATGGCATGTGCAAAGGCGGCTGAGTAGCTTGCCTTGTGGGGTAGAGAGGGTGGACGCAGGCCCAGAACTGTCTGGCTCCCAGTTCCTGGAATATCGGAGATCCTCAAGAAATAGCCCTTAAATAAATGGAAGGATGTGTGACTCATGGAACAAAGGGGGTAACGAGTGAGGGGTCTGAATGCCTCTCTGAGCAGGGTACCTGACAGACAATGCAAATGAGGAAGAAGTAAGTGGACCCAGGAGGGCCACCAAGCAGGGCAGTGCCCATCCCCCGTCCCACCGCTCCGGGTCCTGCTCACCGCCCACTGTCCAGCGTGCCGGGCGCTTGAGGGGCTCGTTTCTTCCTTCTGTGGATGGAGCCTGGATTGCGGTGCGGGCACAGGGACGCGTAGCCATGCTCAGCCTCTGCCAGAGAGAGCCCCCCCACCCCGCGGAGTCAGGTCAGGACGGGCCTTTTCGCGCCAGGGCCATTTCCCCAATCCCTCCTTGCTCGACCGCCCGCAGTCCTCTACTGGGGTGCAAGCTGAAGGCTGGGGTGCCTTGGGGCGACTACGCTCGAGCCAGGCATCCTTCGAGTTGGGAGCCAAGTCTGGTCCAGGCCCGTGTCTGCGAGACCGCCGGCCAGGGGCTCCTCCTCACCTCTCTCCCGGCGCTCCAGGTACTCAGCGGCTTGCAGCAGAACCTGGATATTGCTGGCCACGGGTTCCATGTCGGCGACAGCTGGCGGCGGGCGTACCTAGGGTGCCAGCGGAGCAGCGCTGCAGCACTTTTGTTACAATATAACTGACACGGAGCAACAAACACAGGGCCCAGCCCCGCCTCCCGGACGCCCCGCCCCGGACCCGCCCCCAGGACCCGCCCGCCTGCAGACCGAGCCGCCCGGGACTCCAGCCCGGCTGGTCGCACTCCGGGCTCTCAGCCTGGCCCTTCGGCGAACCCACGGGCTGGAAGTAACGCGCCGGGACGCTTCACAGGACAAGCCCGCGCCAGTGACTCAGGGCCCCTGGGCTGGTGCCCAGGGCCGCGAAGGCCGGGG